TTTGTCATCACTTTCCTCCCAAGAAGCAGGTGTCTTTTGATTTCGTGGCTGCTGTCCCCATCTGCAGTGATCATGGAGCCCAAGAAAGTAAAATCTGTCACTGCCTCCATCTCTTCCCCTTCTATTTGCCAGGAGGTGATGGGGCCAGTGGCCAAGATCTTAGTTTTGTTGATGTTGAGCTTCAGACCATTTTTTATGTTCTCCTTTTTCACCCTCATTATGAGGTTCTTTAATTCCTCCTCACTTTCTGCCATCAGAATGGTATCATCTGCATACCTGAGGTTGTTGATGTATCTTCCGGCAATCTTAATTCCGGCTTCGGATTCCTTCAGTCCAGTCTTTCGCATGTCTTCTGCATATAAGTTAAATAAGCAGGGAGACAATATACAGCCTTGTTGTACTCCTTTCCCAATTTTGAACCAAGCAGTTGTTCCGTATCCATTTCTGTTGCTTCCTGTCCCACGTATAGGTTTCTCAGGAGACAGTGTCAAAGAAGCAATTATGAGAAATGAAATGATACAGTGGTCTCCAACCTTTTCCAAACTGTGGACTAAAAATAAAAATGTTGAAGAGCACTGCTCCCGGGACTGTGCCTTCTGGTATCCCACTTGTTACCTCCTGCTGGTTACATTCTATTTTAACTATTATATAGTTATAATAAAACTAGTTGAGTAGGAGCCATTAATAAACACACTCTGAATACATTTCTGTAATCAGTTGTATATCCACCAGTTGTTCTATCCAGCCCACACCTAGTTAGCTTGCTAATCAGAATATCATGAGGCATTTTGTCAAAAGCTTTGCTAAAGTCAAGATATATGTTCAGCAGTCCCACCATCTACCACAGAGGATATCCAGTCAAAAATGAGATTAAGATTGATCTGATAGGATTTGTTCTTGACAAATCTGTCGGCTTCTAATTACTGGTTTTCAAGGTGCTTGCAGATTAACTGCTTTTTCCTAGGGCTGGTCAGACTGATTGGTCTGGAGTTGTCGAGTTCTCCCCTTTTGAATGTAGCAACCATAGTCCTCCTCCAGTCAGGGTGGATTTAATTTCTATCAAATTGATTTCTATCATACAATAAATTTTAAAAACCCTAAATAATAAAAAAATGATTTAAATCAATTTCATTTAAAATAAACTTTGATTTTTATTCCCCCTACCTCTAGTCATCTGGCACTTTACTCATCCTCATGATTTCAAGAAAATTAGTAGACAGTGGTTGATAGTTCTTCAGCCAATTCCTTCAGTATTCTTGGATGCAGTTTCTCATTGAAAGTAATATTTCTTGATTATTTATCTATCTCAAGCTGTAATCATACCAGTACACTGGTACTTCATATTTGCCAGGAGGGTCATAGACTGTTTTATGTTATCTTTTTTTTTCTATTCCCTAGAGCGTAGCTAATACACTATACAGTCGTGCCCTGCTTAACGATTACCCCGTATAACGATGAATCCGCTTCACGACAATGTTTTTGCGATCGCAAAAATATGTTTTAATTGGGTTTTTTCGCTTTGCGACGATCGGTTCCGTTTTGGGAACCAATTCTTCGCATTATGATGATCAAAACAGCTGATAGTTGGGTTTTCAAAATGGCCATCGGCTGCTCAAAATGGCTCCCTGCTGTTTTTAGGCCTTTTTCACTTAACAGGCACCCGAAAATGGCCACCATATGGAGGATATTTGCTGGACAAGCAGGTATTCAGCCCATTGGAACGCACTGAATGGTTTTCAATGCATTTCAGTTGGCTTTTTTATTTTGCTTGATGACGTTTTTGCTCTACAGTGATTTCGCTGGAACGAATTAAGGTCGTCAAGTGAGGCACCACTGTATTTTTTCAGTCTTTTGCTACACAAGAACCTGAAGAATGTTTTTAGCTTAGCTTGCTGGCAGCCAACAGAAAATAGTTGAAAGTTTTGACTTCTGAAAGGATGGTAATAAACAAACCCATAGATTGAATTTTCCTCTGCACCACCCAGCTTGAGCAACCTAAGTTGCAATCTTGCAGATTTAAAAAAGGAGGGCCTTAGTGGAAGACCCCACCAAGATGGAGATCAAGTGCATAGAGTGTGTAAGTGAGTGATATGTCTTACGTCTGGAATGCTCCATGTTATAGGTGCTTATGTTGTGAGCTTCCACCAGCAGGCCAAGTTTAACATTGATGCTCATGTGGAACAAATACAAGTATGCACAGAATTAAAGCTTTAATAATTCCATTTCATAATGCCAAGTTCAAAACAAATCTGAATAAAAATACCTTAAGAGGAGGAAAAGATGAAACCAGTAAATTAAAAATACTTTGTTTTTGGGTCTGAGTGCAACCTATAGTTCAACATTATGTCAGAATCACAGTTTTAGCCATTGCTTCACTTCAGGAGTGGCTGGCTGTACAAGCAAATGGAAAAGTCAAGGAGTTTTGTATAAAGGCCTAAATTATGGTTAGTAAAAACTTGAAACCATTAAAATGCATATTATTGATTGGTGTACAGTGAATTTGACATATGTTTCAGAATTCTGACATGCATGATAAAAAACCAGACTGCTGATAGTAGTTTATTACAAACAAAATCTTCATACAGACAAATATACATAACTGAATTTGTATTCAAATAGAACTAGTATTGAAAGTTTTTAAATGTATAGAAATTATATGAAATGCTGGTCCTACTTTTGACCATTGACACTAGTTAGTTTCTAAGAGATGGTGTCTTTAAATTACATACAACACTTGTACTGAAGTCAACTGACATAAAGAAAACAAGTTTTACAATTACATTATGATAAAGTTTGGGCCTTATTCAGAGCAATCTAACTGTCTTCCCAGTCACAGTCAAGAAGTCATCATCAGCCAATGCATGAAGTGCTTCTTCAAACATTTCTTTAGTGACAGCCTTAAAGAGAAAAACACAGAAGTAAATATATAGATAATATGCACAACATTCAGTATTTCAAGACTAGGCTTCTTCACCCTATCAGTTCTCTATGGACTGGAAGTTATGATATTTCAACAATTCGAAAGGGAAGTTCTACCCTGGAGCCTTGGGTAAAATTAATTACCATGTAACATAAAGTTAATGCAGGTGTAAGTTTGCTGAGTGTTATGCCCAGGCAACACAGACTGTAGTCAGTCACATGGTTCCTGTTATGGCCAAATCTGCAATGGGCCAGTGGAACTGCTTCTTTGGTAGCACTTCTGCTTTGGCGCTACTGCAATAAGATTTCATTCTGTTTTGAGACTCTCATAATTTGGTGACTAGGTATATGTGGAAAAAAATCTTCCTGCAAAAGAGCTTCCCGGCTACTCCTAATATTCATATGCCTAGATCTTGCAGGGATAGGCGAAACCTCACATACAATAACATGACATGGACTGCACTGATAACAGTTTTTATCCTTAATTGTAATTATGGCACCACTTTTCCAGATTTCCTCACTGAAGAAATCCCAGAGTAAATTTACAAACAACACAAAATACAACTTCACAGTAGATTCAGAATAGAGAAGAGGATTTATTGGATGTCAAGACATGAACAGCAGATAGTATGCAAATCTTTAGAAATATAACCATCAAACTTACTGTTTCAGACTGTGCACGAAGATCTTCAAAGAGCTGTTGGTATCTCAGAGCTGGTGTTTTACCCTTGGACTGAATAAGCTTCTTCAAAGCTTGAGCCAATTCTTCTTTGCGTTTACGTGCAGTGGCACTCATTCCTTAAAAAACAAAGAAAAAAAAAACACTGTACTTTTTTCTCAGTTTAACAGTACTTAAACAGTTGTTCAAATGGCATCTATACAACTTCCAGTGAAACAAATGAGAGAATCTCTCACAGTTCATTGTAGTAACCAGTTCTAGGATAAATATGAGATAATTGAAGCAGTGATTCTTAGGCAAATGCCAAGATTAAATTGGTTTTTGGATATGCACCTGTAGTGAGAATAGATATATCCACAATTCCAGTCCTTGGATCAGTAGCAGACTGTTTCAGAGCCTCACGATGAAGACGTTTAGCTTCTTCTACATCTATCGTTTCCACCTTAGTAGAAAAACGGACTTTAGCATGAGCTTCTGCCAAACGAATCAAAGACTCCAATTGCCGAGGATAGGCAGAAACCATTCCTCTACCACTTCCAATCTTTCTCATTTCAACGTATGCCTGGTCCAAAAAGAAATAGTTTGCATTATACACATGCATGTGTAGTTTTTGTACATATGTACTTACAAGAATTTTTAAATATAAAGATATTACCTAAGCAGACATAGTTCTATGATGACTGCAGTATTTTAAATGAGAACTCAAGTGGGCTGTTAACAAACCGTTCCAATGTTTAATATGTTGGGATTTTAAAAATATTTTTTAAAATCGTGAAAAGGATTGCCGGAAGTCAGAATTGACTTGATGGCACATTATTAATATCTCAAAGTACTGGAATCGGCAGGGACTACAGCAATTGTCTGAAATCCTTGTAAAATGTATTTTAAGCAAAACTAAACTGTTTCATATTTGAAAGCAGACCTCAATAATTATAGGTTCAGTTGTTTTGGTGTGTTTTTTTCTGCTTCCCTGCATCCTTTTTTAAAGTTTTTAAAGAAAATGTATGACACTCATTAAAACCAGACCACGAATGGTCCGATTTATCTCTATTAAATGAAAAGGATGAAGCTGATAGAAATGTAATCAAACTAAAGGTCCATTTTATTCTCAGAACCTTCTTAAATTTGTCTGCATCACGAACTGCTCTTCTGCGCATGGCTGTACCACCTTCAAGAACACTAAAATGTATTTTCCCCCTTGTACATTCCTGTGAGTACACATATACACATATATACTGCAAAGCACTGCAGAGATTATTGGATTTTAGAGGTACGTTTTTCTGATGTGTTAATGCTACTCAAAACTGGTTTACTTTAAACACAGGAGTCCACATCTTACTAGAGCAAACTTGGATCAGTGGTTTCTTTATAACAGTGTTTGGAACCCTGTACTCACTCCAATTAGGCTATTTATTTACTATAAATGTAGTATTTCATTGGTACATATTAAGTTTCTCGTTTCATTCCTTTTCTGTTCTCCCCTAGGTCTTCCTGACAGCCAAATGAGAAACTTGACACTAGGATTGATCTAGAGCTGACAAGTCTGCAAATAGACAGCCTTCCATTGGAAGACAGAACCAGAATCCAGTGAAGCCTCCTTGCCACAGGTGTGATGAATTTCATAGATTACTCCTGCAGTGCCCAATCCCTTCTTGCGTACTGTTCTGAATGGTTTCACAACTATGAAGGGCAGATTTTCTGGAGTACAGAAGAAAGCAAGATTGGTGGAAGAATTCTTTCACCTGTGGAATTAGCTGAAGAGATTTTTGCTCTTTTTCATTACAGGTCCACCTGCTGGTGGTCGAATGTACCCAAACACTTTGTGTGTTCTGATTATGCTTTTGAACAACATATCATTTAGATTTATATTTGTGAATATTTTATTGAAGTTCTTTTGAAATCAACTATCAAGGTTACTTCCTTGTGGGTCTTTACTTATTTACCATATTTTTCGCTCCATAAGACGCACCTTTCCATAAGACGCACCAATTTTTTAGGAGAAGAAAACAGGAAAATATGTTTTCTTCGCTCCATAAGACGCACAGACTTTCCACCCCCCTGTTTTGTGGGGAAAAAGTGCATTTTATGGTGCGAAAAATATGGTATTTATTTATTTATTTATTTGATTTATATCCCGCCCATTTGGTCTGGTCGACCACTCTGGGTGGCTTTAAAGTGTAGAAAAATGGTATGCAAGGTTATAAATGCTCTATTCCACTCTTACCCCAATGAGAGCTTGACTTGCTTCTTCACTCAATCTTGGATTGACATAGGCACGAGCATAAGCAATATAATCTCTTAATACTGCCATATCCATGTACTCCTCTTCCATCTGCTCTTCAGTTTGATAGTATAATGCAACCAAGTGGTGAGCCAAACGTCTGTCATAGGCTTCATCGCGAGGATCCAGCATAAGGAAAATGAGATCAAACCTACATAGAAAAAAGTAGTAAATGCTGCCATATGGCTTTGATGGATCCATCAGATGTAAGAGAATTCAAACAGGTGTTATGTTGAAGCTCTGACAAATATGCTCTCTATTTCTATGAAACTACTTTCATATAAGAGAATGTGTACTAGTATGGCTTGTTTTATGTTGTATAATTGCTACACAATCGTTAAAGTTGAAGTCAGAACTTAGGTGATACTCTGAATCAAAGGAATAACCTCGGTTGTCAAATGACTTGGGCAATCTAACTACATTCCCATGAGTTTAGGTTGAAAGAGGTGGCAACTTTCCTCAGAATTATTTCAGAACAACATTTCTCCTGTCATCTGTGCTGCAAACCCCTCCCCTTACACATATTAGGACCTGATGATGAGATTCCATTCAGTTAGAACAGATTCTAATAACATATGAGTTAGACTTTACCTGGACAACAAGGTATGGGGAAGCTGTATGTTTTCAATAGTAGTTTTCTTTGGATTCCACTGGGATTCTATTGGATTTGCAGCTGCTAGAATCGAGGTACGAGCATTCAACTGGCAAATAATTCCAGCCTGTCAGAAAGAAAAGGAATGACATACATGTCTAATTCTGGCAGAGTCCAAAAATGGATAATTTTTCAGGAATAATGGCATATTAAAATATGTGTATATGAAGTCTCAGTTACTGCTTTACAAACAAGAGCTGAAATGAACTGTTCAGTATGTTCAATCTTTCTGTTTAATACTTCAGGCATTAGCCCCATTCTCTTTCACTCTACTCATTTCTCCTTCCTGCTCACCTCACAACATACAAACAGTGATCACAAAACACATTCAGTCCTCAATAGGTTGTTGTTAGTTCTTTCGCTCTTCTGTTCTACCCCCAGCACAATTTATCTAGTTCTCTAAATCCTGAGGTTCCATCAATGCTGCCAATGCATCTCTTATTTATGGATGACACTTTTGGCCACAAAAGCATTGATTCTTGTATGTCAAAAATTAAGGAAATGATACAAATACCCAGGATCATTATCTCTTTACTAAAATAAAATAATTGCAGATAATTTGCTAAGTTTTTACCTTTGCAATAGACAGGGTTTGCTGTTCCATGACTTCATGAAGCACTGATCTTGTGCTTTCATTCATTTTATCAAACTCATCGATACAGCAAATCCCATTGTCACTGAGGACCAAGGCTCCAGTCTGCAGAACTAATTGCCTTGTTTCAGGATCTTTCATTACATATGCTGTAAGACCAACGGCACTAGAGCCTTTCCCAGATGTATACTGGCCTCTTGGAACCAGACTGTAGACATAATGGAGCAACTGTGACTTGCTGGTACCAGGATCTCCACAGAGCAGAATGTTGATCTCAGCACGAAAGTTTCCTCTGCCAGTGTGGCTGAAATCTTTCCTTGAGCCTCCAAATAGCTGAAGAAGAATACCCTGCAAGAAGCATTTCAATGGCAACCTGACTTAAATGTTTTTTAAAAATATATTAACATACAAACATGCATGATTTAATGATTGCAGATTCAGATTAATTAGATGCCCATTAGCTGTACCTACTGCTGAAAGAAAACAGCTTATCTGAGAGAAGATAGACACATGGCTGGAGATTGTTTCTGGTAGTTGCACAGATGTGCTTCATCAGATAGTCAAGAAATGGAATTGGTATTTCTTTGCATTAAATTGGTTCCCACAAAACTACAGGCATACCTTATAGGCATCTTATTTACCTATACTATATTATCAAATTTCTGGGTATAAACTTAAATTCTAACTACAATCTTTCTTGATTTTACTAAACATCCAAAAATTGCTATTAATGGCATCCACTCCTTTTTATTCAGGTATCAGAGGTGCAACACACTAAATAAGAACTGGAAAGTTCTTGACTGGCACTTAATCGTGTTTTCTGTTGTGCTAGACTGCTATCTCTGTTTCCTCTGGAAATTATCTTTGTGGAGAAAAACTTCATCTTATTAAAACACAAACACACATTATCATCTTAATTTCAGAGCTTCTGACTTCTTGAGGCACTGTACATTCTAGATCATGACTGGACTAGCTTTTTTGCATTTTTCAAACTTGTAAAACAGTGTTCTTCGGCCTAAACTATGGACCAGAATCCTGTTGCTATTCATGTAAAGCTTGCATAACTTACTGTGGATAACTGAGGAGGCATGGAGTGTTGTTTTGTTGTACACCTGATCATGCACCCAACTGCATAACAGATGCACCCCAGCACCTCATGAATTAACAGACTTTATGTGAACACCAACAGAATTGTAGCCATTATTTCTTAGTACAGATTTTACAAGATAGGAGTACAAAATTATTTCAACATTTCATGTTACATGAAGCATCATACATATTCAAAGAATAAACCGCCTAGAGTGGTCCTGAGTTTACTAGATAGGCGGGATATAAAATAAATAAATAAATAAACAAACAAACAAACAAACAATTTTTCCAAAAAATAGGAAGTAGGATAATTCAAAGTAAGGAAGGAAGGAAGAAATACGAGGAGCAGGAAGAAAACTGTGGATAGAGGGGAAATGATTTGTATCTTTGAACCTTCTAATTCATCAGTGGTAAATGTAGTAATCCGGCTCTGCCATTCAAATATATTTCATTTTTTGCTTACCTTCTTAATATCTTCATGCTCATAAATACTTGGAGCAAGTGCTGAAGAAAGTCTGTCATAAATATCTGGCTTTCTGGAAAGCTCCTGAAGCATTTTCTCTCGTTCCTCTGTAAACATTTTCTCCTCTGTTCCGTCTTCAAAACCACGTAAACGTTTTGAGTCCGTTTTACAGTAATGAATAACATCAATGTGTGTCTTATAGACAGATCTTACAGTGCTCATTCTTGGAATGACACGGACAGGGACTGCTCTGTATATACCTAATTAAATGAAGCAATATCGTATCAGACAAATGAAAAGAGACATTACACATATCCTACCAGTAAAATGTTAACCAAAAAGAGTTGGTTTGGGCTAGACTATGCAGTCAGTTAGATCATTAATTCCCAATTATTAATTCCTAGCATGTATCAGTTCTTAAAGTACAATGCCACACATAAGCACTGTGTATGAGTATTAGGTACATAAGAAGAGTACACCTACTTTATTGTTTACCATGGTTTCATTTAAAAAGTTTGTATATTACATGGACTCTAGCATTATAAAACAACAGCTGAATACTTACTGCATAAGATAGACAAAATTTTAAGCTCCAGTCCATTCCTTGCTGTTAAAGTCCTGACCATGATTCTTGGGTTTATGTGTGTGAGAGTACTGTACTGTGAACATGAATGTCTGAGTTTATTAAAGGATGCTTCCATAGCCCCCTCCCCAGACCCTTACTCTTCTTGTTTGCTTTAAAGCATAGAAAAGCTTTTTTTTTCCCTCACTAAACTTGGTGTCACTAGACTTTGTCACAGATGTACCTGCTTGCTCCACTTTGAAGCTAGGCTGTGTTACATCGGTCAACCACGAGTATCCTGTCTACCTAATTTCCTATTGAACTGTAACCGCAGAACAGGTTGCAGACAAGTTAGAGTACCCAAAGAGGAGGGGAACTGCCTGCATACTTAGAAAATATATGCTCTTTTGCTGTTCTCCCCTATAGAATGCATACTGAATAACTCCCTTGACCTACTTGTCAGCCAATGAGGATTTTTCTGTACCTTTATTACCTTGTGGTTAGAAGGCATAAAAGCTCTTTGTACTTTTGGGTCAAGGTCCCTTGTGTCTGGGGGACCCGAGTAGCCACTCAAAATAAACAGCACTTGTTCTCTCTTGAGTCTGTGTATGGTCAAATCTCATGCTTGCTGGTACAAGAGTGTTTTAACACTCCCAGATTTCTTATATCTGGCTCACAGTACACAACAAGCCAGTGTGCATGTGTGCACTGGAGAATCATGGTGAGGGCTCTATCTTTACCAGTGAAAAATGGACTGGAACTTAAGACTTTATGTTATGCAGCACAATTTCAACCACTATTTCATTCATAACACCAGTTATCTTCTCCAGTAAATATAGTTCAGGCAGTCAGGATGTACCAGTTGCATCTTGATATTTTGTTATACAATCAAATGCAAAATAATATCTCATGTGTAATTACTAAGAACTATAACACATACACAAAATTTGTATATGCATTAGTATTTGTAGTTTTTAAGCAAGTTGATGAAAATTAACATGTGCCAAATATGCCTGAAAATATATACTGTATGTTGTTGCTATTGCTGAAAGGGCTGTATGATGAAATCTTTCTGTTTGCCCACTATTTTCTTTTTCTTTTACCATATTATACATAACATTACAGAAAAACATTATTCTACGCAGCCTCATTTGTTCATTTTTATCTAATATAAACAAGCAGTAATACCCAGACATTTCTCTTACCCGTAACATTTACTCTATCACCAGGCTGAACTTTATCCACTAGATCATTGTGAGCAAAAAGTACAATGGTGTATGGTGTCTGGCCAGCTGGCATATCCTCTGGAGACTCCTGCAGTTTGATCTGACACAAGGCCAATGATTAATTGAAGCACATATATACAACTGTAATACAATTATAAAATCAAGCCAATTAATTAGCAGAAACAGTGGGTTGAATCTAGTTGTGTCACAACTAGAGCCACTCAATGAATGGGACTTGTTCAGACAATGCTTACGGCTCATTGATTCACTTTGAGATAAAGCCAATGGATTTCAGAAGGTATCTACGGAAAGTATACATTTATACATTTTTTCTTCCCATTTCTCTGGAAGTTCATATCTTTCTCCTTTTGTTGCTCTTAAGGGTGCCACATGATTGTCATCTTTCAGCCCCTTGTTATCCTTACACCTATCTGCCAAATCTGTCAGCATATAAAGTGGTGTAAAATTCTTCGTTTTGTTGCCTCTATCCTTTGGGAATTAATATCTGTTTCTTACAGCTTGAAGAAACAACAGTACATTCCATGCTTCTACAGAGAACCAATGTCAGTTAACTATCAGTCTAGTGATTTGTTCTAGCCTTGTAAGAAGGAATTTTGCTATCTCTAACTTAACTAATACACACATATTGCTCCAAAGAGTAAAGGTAATTTGATTGTAACAGGCCTTAGCAAATAACTGCAGGAACTGAAAAACAATTGTTGTTATGTGCCACCAAGTTAAGTTTTTGCAATATATGGCAATCCTAATAGTGCTTTCAAGATATGAGGGATGGTGAATAATTTGTTTAACATCATTACCCCTTTGGTCCCCTGGCTCCTAGATTGACACTTTACTCACTACACTACTCTGGCTCTCATCGCTCCTAGATTGACACTTTACTCACTACACTGGCTCTCATCAGAGAAATCTGAATCTATAATGTACAATATAAATTAACTGCTTAGTTATACAAACATCACCAGAGGTAGCTTAACCAGTATGTGTCGTGGGCAATAGCGGTCAAATGTCAGTGCACACTAGCATAATCTGTAGTATAGGAAGCATTTCTGTAATTCTACAAGAAATATGTTGGAATTTACTGTTGAAAATTAACAACTTATAAAGTGAACAAGAGATCAGCATACCATTTGTTTATCTGAGAACAGGGAGCGATTATGAATCAAAGCCATACTATGTGTGGTGTTGCAATTCTTGCAGGTGGATGGCTCAGCAATCCTGCCACGATCAATTTCTACTCTTGTTGTGAATGCACAGACCTGACACTTGAAAAAAGCTTCTTGCATTTCTGGAATTAACTGTGAGCTTCTGATCACCATGCCACTTATAGTGATAAGCTGGTCAATGTCTACGATGAGAACAAAGGAGTACAAATAATGAATACACGTTTCAGTAAATCTAATATAATTAATTTTCTAAGATTCAGTAAATCTAATATAATTCATTTCCAAACATTTCTAAACAAATAAGCCTATGGCAATATATAAACAAGAACTGTGATATATCTACTGTGGAATTATATCTTTATACAAGGAACAAGTTGAGCTTCAATTATTTCCTACTAGACTTAACAATAATTTTCTCCATGAAAGAGTTAAAGATATATACAGTGGTGCCTCTCTGAGCGAGTCCTTTGCTATGCAATGATTTCGCATAGCGAGGGGGTCCGGGCCATCGCTGGAGCATTCGCTCAGCGATGGCCCCTATGGCGATTTTTCGCTTTGCGATGATCGCTAAGCGATTCGCTTAGCGATCTTCGCAAAAGAAGCGGGGGAGAACAGCTGATCGGCGGTTCCAAAATGGCCGCCGGAAGGTCCGCGCCGCATTTTCGCGCCCTGCCCTCGCTTACCGAGGGCGCGAAAATGGCGGCGCTATGGAAGAAACAGCGCTTAACGGTGAGTTTTCAAGCCATAGGAACGCATTGAACGAAGTTCAATGCGTTTCTATGGCTTTTTTAGTCCCGTTTAGCGATGTTTTCGCATAGCGAAGGTTAATCCGGAACAGATTAACCTCGCTATGCGAGGCACCACTGTATCTTATTTTCCAGCACAAAATTTTATAACAATTACAAAGCATGACTTAAACCTGGCTTGCTATACCTCTAGCTGCTCTTCTGGTTTTTGTTTATCCAAAACAAAATAGTTTAATAAAAGTATCTCACAGTATCAAGGATACATATTGTGTGATACTAAATGGCTTGGGTCCAAGCTACCTCAAGGACCACCTCTCCCTTTATGATCCCACACAAGTGTTAAGATCATCAGGAGAGGACTTTCTCTCACTCCTGACACCTGTGCTTGGTGGGGACACAGGGAAGAGTCTTCTCTGTTGCTGCTACAAGACTTTGGAACTCCCTCCCACAGGAAGCCAGGCTGGCCCTATCTTTGCTGTCCTTCCACAAGCAGTTGAATACCTTTCTCTTTAGGCAAGCTTTCCCTCAGCGATGGGCTGCATGAGTGGGGTTTTTAAATGGATTGTTGCACCTTACTCCTTTGAATGTGTTTTGAACTGCTGGATGGCTCAGTGGTGTTGCTTTAGTTTACCATTTTTACTGTAGCATGTTTGATTTTTAGTACTTGTATACTCACTGAAGTTAGCTTTAAATACTGTCTTTTGATAATCTAAGCCAGTGGTTCTTAACCTTGGGTTACTCAGGTGTTTTTGAACTGCAACTCCCAGAAACCCCAGCCAGCAAAGCTGGTGGTGAAGGCTTCTGGGAGTTGCAGTCCAACAACACCTGAGTGACCCAAGGTTAAGAACCACTGATCTAAGCCACCTTGGGTCCTTTTTAAGGAGAAAGGTGGGGTGAAAATATTTGTTGTTGTTTAGTCATTAAGTC